TTGAGAACCCCATGGATCATTATTAAATTCATTGAATTTACCACTCGTTGGACCATTCGGATAATGATGATGACTATATGCATTCGTCGCTTGATCATTGATACCAGTTGCCCAATTATTAGCATCATATTTATTCGTTTGTTGTTGTTGTTGTTGCTGCTGCTGCTGCTGTTGTTGTTGTTGTTGCTGTTGAAATGCTTGAAGAAAAGCTTGCATCATATTTGGATTAAGCATTTGTTGTAAAAGTAATTGTTGTTGTTGTTGATCTGGATTATTTGAAGCTGTAGCATTACCAGTATTACCACCACCAGACATCATATTATTACCTGTACCATATTGAGAATAAGATGGATAGGGATGTGTATTGGCTGGTGGAATTGAACGAACATTATGAAAATTACGATCTAAATAAAAAATGATTATAATGTTAATATTTGTATATGTTTTTCTTTTAATTTATGAAATGCTGATGTAGTGATTAAAAAGTTTATCTTGTTCGATAGAACACAAACGTATGTTGATTTCGATCTGGGCGAAATGCTTGTCTAATTCCGAGCTGACCAAAAAATAATATGATAGACGCAAGTGCAATGTGCAACCAGAGATATGTTTAATAATCATTAGATAGTGCTGGAAATTTGAATGAAAACCAACATGTCTCGAGACAGACATGTTCGTTTTTGTTAGAGCTTTCAGGATAATCTTATGACTATCAAACTTACCTGTACATATAATTTTAGCTAGAAATTCTTTATTTTTTGGATTTTTCGGAAATGATTTTCTTCTAGTAAAAATTTTCTTACAACGGCCATGAATCCGAATCTTATTAAGTTTTTATTAGTCTCAAAGAGATCTACTCCTAGCCTTAATGCAAAGCCGAATGGCATTCGATAGCTGGATATGCTTTCTTATTAGCGTAACGTAAAACATCAGTTTTCTCAATCTTGACTACTTATGACCTTCTTTTAGTTTCGTTCAACCGGGTTGCAATTTCTATTACGTCTACTTGAAAATATTTTTCATAGGTAAAACCGACCATTTTTACTTTAAACTTTGATGAGGATGGTAATGTATTCGGATGTAGTCTTACGAAAAGACTGGAATTTTTTGAAAACTCTCTTGGAAATTTTTTTTCCATCCAATACGTATCTTCTTATTCCAAGTGTTCTGCAGCATACATTTTAAAAGGAACTCAAAAGCTGTATCATGAAATTCCGAGGAGAAATCCTTGATATTATGGTAGCTCAGTATTTTCGATCAAAGTTTTTAGTCAGATTGGTTATTCTAGAGAAAAAAAAAAGACTTCCGCCAGGAAGTGAGTCTTAAGGGCATCTCGGCTTCTTTGCAAGATTTTTTTAAGAATGTCTAGATCCAACTTTCGAGACACATATAGTAAAACACAAGTTATCCTAGGTTGCTGAAAGTACACCCTAAAAGTTAAATTTTGGATAATTTTCGATTGCTACTAATTTTATCAAATCATCCGATATACATCGATACAATATTTTTTTTTCTAATAAAAACCCTACATCTGATTCCATCAGAGTATCCCGGAGAAAAGTCTCAAATGTCTTTTTCTATTCAATATTTTGGACTTTTTATGTTTCTCATGCATAGTTATCAACTATTCCACTGTAGGTCGATGCATCTTTAACATGCACAATATATTTCGATGATGAAATAAGTAGTTTAGCATCGATCATGTGCTAAATAAGAAAGATTTAAAACATGATTTTTGTGATGAGTGCCTCCTTAACATCAGACTTATAGTACACTTGAATATGTTTTAAGAGCTAGAAAAGAACTCGGCATCAGAAAAAAATAAAACATTTTCCGGTCGCCAAGACCTTAAACTTACAAATAGCGTTGGGTGAAAACAACGCTTTACATACATATGAGAAAGACCGAAAAAATGACATTTCTCAGAAATCAATTTTGCTCAATGAAGAGTTCGTGCTCATTCATTCAGAGTAAAGTAAATGTATTTCCAGCAGAATACTTACCACTCTTCGGGTTCAAAGTTGTTCTACTGATGTTTAGTAGTACTCACAAAAAAAAGTTTCAGTTCGATCGAAAATTATATTTCAGAGAGACAGGGATCATTGTGATCTCTATGTCACATAGGAAATAACATCCCATGATGGCAACTTGTTGCTCTACTCATGAAGATCTTGGAAAGGCAGGGCGCATAGTGTAAATTAATCCCATGGCAGATAGATAGATGAGTTTCTTGCTAAAAAATGATTGAGTATGACACATGAAAATTTTTTTTTTCTTCAGCATTGTTTTGCGTTACATATCATTCGGTGCAATTCAATGCGTTCATTTCGAATATAATAGTTTTTCACAACTACAGCGATCAGAGACAATTGACCGAAGAACATTCTAGCGATGTTTTGAGATCAGATGTGCGCGTATAGAGTATTTTATGAAACTAGCCATTGAAATGACATTCTAGAAAACTCTTTTTCTTACCATTGCATAGAGCTTGAGTGGAGGATTGAGAAAATGTACTCAATTTTTCTGGCAAACAATTCAATTTTGTCGAATACTAATTTTGAGTTTCTCTTGAGAGCTGTGTTATAGGATTAAATCGACTATATTATCCTATGTTTAACCAAATGTTCATCTCGATGCATACTGTAGCAGGTACTCAGATTTCTTTCTTGTTTTCTGATTGAAGAATTAATTATCATATTTTACCTGCTTTTGATCGTTTGAATTGACTGTCATTTGGTTTGCCTTTTGGTTCAGCTGGTCCAACATGTACACTACATCTGAAAACAAAAATGAACAAAACAATAAAATATGTTCAATAGAATTCAATATTTTATACCCATTAATGAAATGATCACCGTATAAAGATGGAACAATAGATGATTCAAGAAAAGTAACAAAAGCAAAACTTCTTGATGGTCGAGGAATATAAACATCAGTTACTTCTCCAAATCGTTTAAAATATTGATTAAGATCATCAGCAGTAACAATTTCTAAACATACGAAAAAAAAAAAAAACAAAACATTTTTTTTTCTTTTTTTCTGAAATAAATTCATTTTATTACCTGGAAGACGTGCTACAAATACTTTACGTGCACATTCAGGTTCATGCATACCAGGATTCTTGAAATAAAACAAAAATTTAGTATTTTTTGAATTCATTAAAATTTACCTTTGAATCCGGAATTTTTAAGTCACATGTACGTCCATCAATATGATGGCGTTTATTAAGTGCATTTAATTGTGATTCATAATCTTTAAAACGAACAAAACCAAATCCACGTGATTGACCTTGCGCATCACGTTTTATCTACGAAACATAATATAGACTAATATATATATATATATTTCTATATTTGTCTTACCTCACAAAAGACAAGTTCACCAAATTGTTGAAAATAATTTCTAACATCTTCTTCATTCGAACGATAATTGATTCCAAGTACAATTAAATCTACACAACGTGATGGTTCAATACGTTGATTTGTTGATATATTATTAACAAATGTTGCATTGGGATCTAGTTCCATATTTTATTTTAATAATTTCTATAATTTAAACAAACAAATCGTAACTATCATCTTGATTATTGAGAATAAAATCAAATTAACCTTTTGATGCTATGTTGAAATGTACAAAATATTTATTTGAACAGCCATATACTGAAAAAAATTTAAAAAAAAAAGCAAGAAAAAAAAAAGATCAACGAAATAATACGTAGGACATAGGAAATTTTACGGATAACAAAAACAAAATAAATAAACCAATCACTTTGACCGATCAAAGAGATATAAATGAATGACTGAACTTTGTTTACAAAAAATGAAAATTTTTTATTTTTAGATTATTTTAAAAAACAAATAAACCATTGAAAATAAGTTTTCTATTTAAAGAATATAGAATTTTTTATTTTATTTGTTTAGTTTTTTTTTGATTTTAATGAAATCATTTGCCTAATACGTAAGTGACATCTATACAATTAAATTAATCATTTAATAAACCAATAAATAACATGTTGTATCATCGTAGGATATTTATAAAACAAAACAAGAAGTTTTCTGCAAATCAACAAATTTTTTTTTTTTTGTGGTTATGTTTAAAATATTGTTGAGATCATTAGATAATGTATAGGAAATAGAGTATTACAATTTTAATGATTGGTTGAGATAATGAATCATTCTTGGAACAACATTCGTAAACACAGATGACATTAGTGGGTACTATTAGTGAAATTACAGCGCGTTTGTTTTGTTTTAGACTATTTTTAACGGTACATAGTTCAACCAATATTCGGTAGTTTTTGTAGAAAATTATGATTAAATCAATTTTGCTTATGCATGAAGAAATTCGAGAAAGACAATAGTAGCTAAATGAATAACCAGAAAATTGAAATTAAAACTAAATAATAAATTTTAGTTCTGTTGTGTTAATTCTGATGAATATTTTGTCTTAAATAATTTTTAGAGAAAGGAAATAGTTGTCTGCTATTTTATAGATGTATCACAGTTGAGATAAATTATTCGTTTGAAACATTAATTTCGTGTACATATTTTTATTATCAATTGTTTTAAATTAATATAGTAAACAAAAAGAATAAATGCCAATATTTACTGAACATTCAACACACTAAACTTATCTTTCGATAATATATAAAATATGATCATTATGTTGAAAGAAATTCATAGTGTGAATGAGTCAGTCATCATTCTCATCTTTAGCTATTGAAAGTCCGTTCTAAATCCTAACTTGATCGCGTCCGGATCCCCACAACCGGATCTAATCATGAATTATTTTCATCTACTTAACAAAATATTATACTTAATAAAATGACATAGGTCAAACTAGACATAGATCAATGTCTTTTTTTTTGTAGTGTATGAATAGTAGTATTTGAGCCAGACGAGTACTTTATGTCGTTTTTATTAATTAAATACATTGTACTTTTTCTTCACAATTGATTTCAGGTAAAATATTTTCTTATTTGAATTCGTTTCAGATCAATAATGTCTATTGCTCTTCTCAACCTTAACCGCCAATTACTCTCACGAGCATTGAGCCGTGCTGGTCCATTGGCAATAGCGTAAGAATATTTCATTACAATCTTTATATTCATATTGATTTATTTACTTAAATTCAGTCAACAAAAAGCTACTTCAAGTACGGTGACACCAGATGTAGCAAATTATCGAGCCAAAGCTGCCGATTGGGTCGCACAAAATGAAAATCAATTTAAACGACCTGTATCACCTCATATACAAATCTATCGGTAATATTTTTGTTAGATTCTTCTTTTTTTTATAAACACAATCAATTGTTTCTTTAGATTTCCTTTTCAAGTATGGTCATCTGGTTTTCATCGTTTCACAGGTGTTGTGTTAAATATAAGTAAGAAGACAACAAGAAAAAAAAGAATTTTATTTTCTTGAATAAAACTCTTATTTATATATTCTTAGTGCTTTATACTGCTGGTCCACTTGCAATTTTGGCTACTGGTCATAGTGCTGAAATTTTAAATTATATCTATGCAATGGATATACCAAGTTGGTTTATTATTTCAGTTAAACTATTGATGGCATGGCCGTAAGTTATTTAAGAAAGGAATTATGAGATTAGGAAGTGTACGAGACATTTGTGGTATCGATGTCTGAAACTACCTATCATAAAATTTTAGCATCTTTCTTTTAAAAGTTAATCAATAACAACTGTTTAGCAGTATTTAATTTCAACCAATCATTAAAATTTTTATAAATTATAATACGACCAACATCTCTGAAGTTCATTGTCATGAAAATCAATCGGACAGTCAATATTAGCAATCAAAAGTTACATTGAATCAAACATATTTTAGAAAATTTCCCGAGAAAACCCATCTGTGACTCCTATGACTGTATTTTATTAAAAGTTTTGCCCGGTGACAAGTTTTTCGTAAAAAATTCTCTAAAATATAGTTTATTTCATGTCGTTTGTAATGCTAATTCCAAATGTTATATTTATTTTACTTCAGAATTTGTGCTATGGTAATAAAAAACTACCAAAAATGTTTTTTTTCTCTATTACTTCGTTTTGACCCGAAAGTACAATTTTCTAGAGAATAAAAAGTTGCATAACGTATATAAAATTCAAGTTGGAATTCTCTAATTCTCAATCTCGAGACAAGAAATAGATTATTTTTAAATGAAAATTATCGGCTTATCATCAGAGTTATTGTGTTTAGTTTTTATTTCTCTATTTTTTAATATAATTAATAAGAAATTCGAATAGCTTGTTGAAACAACAAGAAGTAAAACTTTTACTATATAGCATTTTCAATAGTGATATAGGACATTGACTATCTTGAAGAGACATTTTTAGAGTTACTTTCAAATTATATCGAAAGCAATCGTACATAAAATTTTCCTCTGAAGAAATAATAAAAGACTATGTTACTATGTCTTCTCATGACTGTTATAATACTTGATATGTATCAAAGTACATAAAAAAAAGTATAAAAAATTGTTAGCATGATTTCAGTGGGAGTAAAATTTGACATACGGTGGAGCTGCTGTCATTGTTAGAAACAGAATCCATCAAGTTAGGTTTCAATTTATGAAATACCACCCACTGTTAATGCCTGCAGATGAAAAGTATGTCAGGTCACAATATATTTCATTCAGTATAAAATATGGGCAAAGAGTCGATATCTTAAATTCAGTCGTGTTTTACAATAATGCTACATTAGATAATTAGTCTTGCGGGTATGCTCATCTTGGTTCATCAGGAGGCAATGACTACAGTACAAGATATCTGTAGATCATTATGATTATATGAAATTATTGTGATTTTCATCAACTTCAAGGAATTCGATTATTCGTGTTTTATTGCAAAAGTCAATCATTGCTAAGTTGTAAGCTTTTTTCTTCATAACTTCGTTTTGAGGAGTTGTCAAATATTCTCGATGAGTGCAAGATTGAGACACATTGATGGTTAATTATTACTATTCATTCTCCAGTTGGTTGCTAGTTTAGACATACTCTTGAGGTTGTTGTCGTGTCGTTCTATCATTTGCTACGACTCGTTTTCGTTTCAGCTAGTTTGCAATGTCTTGGCTGATAACGAACGGCTGCTGATCCTTTTTCTGGTCGACTGGATTGAGTTGAATCGGTAAAATCTTTTGCCTGTTTTTATCGTTTGACCCAATATTTCACTTTTGTTACATCACAATGGAATGCTAAGATAAAAGTTTGGATCCAGTAGTATTATGTGTAGAGTCACTTCTGTCTGCATGTTTTGCTGTAGAGCCCAGTAACGTTATTAACATCATCCCATAAACTATTTTTGCATAGGATATGTGAATCTTTTCAAAAGAATTTGTTTTTTTTTGAAAAATATAGGACGACTACGAAGTCAATGATTCATAAGGATAGAATACTTGTAAAAAGTTACTATTGACTAACTTTAGAAAGAAAACATAGAGGAAGCTCAAATTTTGGTGTTGATAAATTCAGATATCGATGCATTGAATGCAGAAAAAATAATTTTATTGTTATCAAGTGTCTCGTACATTCGATAGTCTTACGATTGTTCTCTTATTATTAAAATTATTTTTTATTCTTTTAGTATTTCATATCATGCATTAAATGGTATTCGTCATTTGGTAATAAATTTTTAGTTTTAAATAAAATGTTATAATTTTAATTTAAAATTTTTTTTTTTTTTAATAGGCCTGGGATATGGGCAAAGGATTTGAAGGGTATAACAAGACGAGTGCTATTATTTTTCTTTTATCATTTATTTCTGCAATTGGTATAACTCAACTATAAATTTAATCGATTAAATATAAAACATTATTATTTTTTTCTCCTACTAGCTTTTTTTTTTGTCTATCCCGTAGATCTGTAAGACATTTCTTTCTTCCTTCTTCCTTAGACGTTGTAAAATTTTCAAATAAATAAAAAAAGAAACAAAAAAAAAAAAAAAGAGAGACGGTAAACATTTATTGTTTAGAAATTTTTGATGTTATTGCCATTCGTGCACAAATAGCGTCAATATCATTACGTAATTCTTTTAAATTAATTCGTAATGAATCAGAACGTCCTTTTATTGTACCAAATGATGATGATGCTAAACGTATTTTATTCATTTCTAATTTCATTGTATGCATATCATCAATTAATTGTTTTAAATATTGTTTTGTTTGATTTTCATCATTAATATGATGTTGATTATTATTAAGAATATTATTTGTTCGTGTTACATAATTTGAACGTGTTCGAAATGAATGTGATATTGTATTGTACATATTTGAATCAGGTTTCGATAATGAATATTTAATATCATTTATTTGATTACGTCGATAATGATGATGATGATGATGATGAGAAGTTTGTATAAGACTAGCTGATGCGTCAGCATTATGAGCACTTAATGGACGATATTGTTGTTGTGAATCTTGACGTTTTAATGAAACAGAACGTGAACGTGATGGTGAACGCATTGAATCTTGAACATTTTCATTTTGTTGTGATTCAATATGAGCAATAACTACACCATTAGTATTTGATGATGGAAGTGTTGTTTTAATTGTTTCACCTGTCGCCAATGGAATAACTTTAGGAACATAACTGAATAAAAAAAAATATCAACATAAAAAAATTTCGATAAATATTTTTATTTTTTTATTTTTACCGTTGATAAACTCCCATTGGAGCCATAGACATTTGTCGAGCAGCTTGCCATGCTGTCATTTGTTGTTGTTGTTCTTGCTCTGGTTCTTGCTTTTTTTCTTGCTCTTGTTCTTGTTCTTGTTCTTGATTAGACTGTTCCTGTTTTAATTCAGGACTGTCACTAGTATCAGGTAATTGTGATTCAACCTGTTTTTGAGGTGATCGTGATCTATATTTTCGTCGATATTTACTTCCATTATCACTTATTGTTTTATTTGTTGAATATCCTGTTTTAGTTTTTCTTGGACTTAAATGACGTCGACTACGACTATTTTCTCGACTACTATGATAACTACCTTTAAATGGTGTATAACTAAGTTGTGGTAATGATATTGGAATAGCTGATGGTGTAGAATCTCTATTTAAACTTATATCATTATCACGTACATAGAAAATTCGTCTTGGTGATTGTTGTCGATTAATTTTACCATTAAGATAGATTTCATTTATTTTCTTTTGAGATGTTGGAGAAAATAATCGATTATTTTCTGTTATATGTTTATCAATAATAATATGATTTTCCATACTTTTTGTATATGATAATTGTTTAGCAATACGAAAATCATCACGTAATAAATGTGCATCTGTTGGATGTACAACATATAGAAGAACACCTTTCATATTTGATTTAACTTCATCATAAACAATACAAATAACATTACTTATATTTGGTTGCATAAATATATCATGAACAAGTCCTATTGGTATAAAAACAGGTATACGTGTTCGTGCTATTTGAGGATCTTGTGCACTTATTTGAATTCCAACACTATTAATACGAATCCAAACAGCCGTTGCTAAGAAAAAATTATGAATTTATATAATAAAAATTCATGCAAAAAATTTTTACGTACTATAAGGTTTACCAGTTATAGCATGATTAATAATATTACGAATTACATCTGGTGTATAAGAACTAACTAACGTTGAATTAAGTGGAAAACCTGTATAACGATGACATGTATCACCATCATTCGAATTATTGTATGTTATCAATTGATTCATGTATGATTGCTTTTTTTTTTGCGGACAAATTATTATCTGAAATATGTCTCAATAAATTCTTTAACGACGAAAAAAAAAAAAACTTCACAAGGAAAAACATTATAGTCATCGATATTTTTCATTCTATGATATATCCATCAAAGTCTATGTTCAGTAGAACTCGTCGAATTGATCCTAGAGTCGACGAGAACTCTAGCCGTCTGATCGTCAAAAAGTATCTCGTGTCTTCGGGACAACTATTCAATACTGATTAGAGAACTACATTGAGATTATCAAAGTACTCTGTTCAATTGGCTTCGAAAATTTTGGATCGAACGCCCTTTATACTTCACTCATTCTAAATTTTAACCATTTGAAGGGTAAAAATGTACATTAAAGATATATCGACATTTTTATACCATTTTCTTTTATTTCAATAGTCACGCTTGATTTGTGTTCTTCTTTTTTTTCCTTCATTTTAATAGTAATAAGCATGTACAAAGAAAAAGAATCATTAAATAGTACGAATAACTTGAAGTTTTGCAACATACTATACTCAAATTGCTTTTTTTCATACATCGAATCTGTCATAAATTGATCGTAGATTCATGCGTCATAATGAAGATAGATAGGCGTTCATAGTACATACATTATGACAACTATAAGAGAGACAGACAGAAGAAGCAACAGATGTGTACATGCTTCTTATGTATATGCTACATTTTTTATAATATATTTTTACACCTTCTAATGAATATTTATGTGACATAGAAGTTGTCTTGATAAAGTCAAATAATGAATGATTGATTATTATAACTGATATCTAAAGTCTGTTTAAAAGAAATTCATGACAAAATGTGATGACTGGTTTTGTTTTTTAATAAATGATTGATAATAGAAAATAATTGTTTTGATAAAACATACGATATTTTTAGAATGTACTCATCTAGTAATATTTAATGCATCTATCGAAATGTAATTTAAAAATATATTGTCATAGATAATTTTCTATAATTGATAAATATCTCTTGATAATTATGTTTAACATCGAATTCTTTGATCAAAAACATATTCAAATCAACACAGAAGAAAAACCAATTAATTGAAATGAACATGAATAACTGAGAAAAATATGTTTACATTGATTTAACTTTTAGATTATATTTAAGCAATAGAATGTAAAAATTTTAAGCATACCAATTTATTGAATATGTTAATCTGCTCTCGAAAAGAGAATTGAGTCTCTCTTAACATTTGAACCAGATCTTAAATAGATATTCCTATACATGATATCAACCTTAAAAATTAGAACTCTTTTTTTTTTTTCAAGAAAAAAATTACAGTTAATTGAAATGATTCTAGGTCAGTCGTCGGAAAAAGCCGTTTCCTGCCGGAAAATGAGATAAACTTGGAGACAAGCATCCCATAATTGCGTTGTTCTAGTTCCGACCAAAATCAACTCATGTTTCTTGAACTGAATAACCGATTATTATTATTACTATTATAACGATCAGCTATGACATATAATCAACTGATTATCAACATATCTAGTAAAATATCGAAATGCATTTATAGTTCATAAAGGAATTTACTTCATGACCTGTTACGATCATAAAAGATCGTATTAAAATCATATATGTATGACTTTTCAAAGTTTTCCACAATATTGTACAATTGATATTCTTCTATTTTCGATTTCTATTATTTTTTTTTCTTAAGAAACTCTTTTAGCTTTACTTGCAATATATATATATATCTTTAGGGATAAAAATTACAAAAGCTAAATAAAAGCACAAATATACGCTTAAGAAACATTTTAAAAAAACTATTTTTTTTTTATTGAATCTGATCGTTAAAATGAGGAACAGTAATAAAATAAATAATTTACACAAAAGAAAACCAATTTTTATTTTATCAGATAATTTAAATTATCTGTAATGATGTTTGTAGTAGATCAGTATCACAACATAGAAGATGTATTTTCAATTCTAGAAAAGTACCATCTGAATTAGAATGTATATGGACGCACCTCCATACGACTTTCAGTCTCAGCTATAAACGATTTGGAGAAAGTTTATAAAAGCATATTGTTATTTTTTATTAAACTATTCATTTGGACACGCACGAGATTAATGTGAGCGGTTTTTTTGAAACAAGGGTGCATTCGGCTCCATATGTATCTTATCATTATGATACTAGACAATGATGAATGGTTGTAAGCACTAATGAAATTGAAAGTTAGATTTGTTGTCTAAGTATTATAATCGATAGTATATGCTACACAAATATTCTTAGCGAAATTTGGATTGGAATTGTTTTTGTTAACACAGTACAAGAAAAAATTTTTGTTTAAATCAATTAGTTGAACTTGTTGATGCAAGTTTATTTATAATATAAGTTTTTTTTTTTCTAAGAGAATTTTTTTAAATTAATTCACGCACATCAAACTTAATTGAATTCTCATGTCAACTGTGACCTACATTAAATGAGTTCTTAATATGTTTATTTTACACATTTGAACATGAAGTTCATAATTTATATTTTACAATAACATCAATTATGACCGTTAATAATTTGAATGGTTGATAGTGAATTGTTTCATATGATTGCTTTTTAAATCTCAAGCTTCTTATGATATATATCAAGCTACATATTGTTATTGAAATTCTATATTCACATAATTCAAATATAGTGCTATGATGTTGTCGTTTTCATTTTCTTTTCTGTTATGTTAAGATATGCGAGTAAAAATAGATTTTTTTCTCTTTCTAACGATTAAAGTGACTCGTTGTGATCTGATAGTTGAGTGAGAGAGTGATTGTTTTGTTGTAAATCCTAAAATAATCTTGTTAAGAATTTAAATCTTCAAGGTTAAAACTACCGCTAAATAATCACAACAATGTGACATAATATATTGATTTTATCCATTCTAAAATGACAAAATATATTTTTATATTTAGTAATATGAAAAAGAATTGTTTATTTTATGAATAGTACATAAGTTGTTCTTGTTCAGAGAGAAAACATTATGAGAAAATAATTCACTAGTCAATGAAGAAATCTTGTGAATGAAACATTTTAAAAATCAGATGATGAAATTTTTTTTTCACGTT